GAGAACTACCCAGAGAGACCCCTGCAAAAAAGAACAGCAGTAGTTTTATCATCTTTCCAACCCCCATATCACTTACAGATCTTCAGTGATCCTACAGTGTTCTGCAGTTTGCCAAAACTGATGTTCAGGTTTCATAACATTTAGAAGTCAAATTCCAAATTAGATTTTATTTGCTCTTGAAGTCTGGACTTTGGGTTGCAGCTTTCTTGGGAGAGTATACTAGTTCACTTTCCCCTGGAAATCAAACAGGATCAGAGTGCCTCATTCTTCTCAACTTTTCTGAAAATCTGAACTCTGATGAATTAAATGTTTTATTGGACTTTCAAGCTAGGTAAGCTGCTGTGCTAGCTAAAGAAACAGGATTACGTAGGATTAACCCTTTGGAAACTTAGAACACAAGGTTCATTTAATTAAAATAATCTTCCTAAGCATTCAGTGGCTGAGAGGTTGAAAAAATATCAGCTTGTCTTTGAGTTCTATTTCAATTATAGGATGGAGTAAAAGGTTTTGCCCTATTTTCAGGCTTGAATCAACTTGGAGTGGGCATATCAGCAAGCAAAGCCACAAAAGCATGCTCTCTTACCAAGACAACCTAGTCACAACAACTTTGTCTCTTTGTCACTTAGTCTTATCATTTCCAAATCTTTAGGTACAGCTCTGTCTTTGTAAGGAAAGTTATTTTTCAAAGATTTAGTCTTACTGATTTTTAGTTTTAATACTTATTATAAATTCAGTGACCTGAAGCATTCTGGAAGTTGATGTGTAAGCACATTGGATTTGTTTGATTAATGTTTTTTGGTATCTCTTCTCTGCCTTCTCCCATGAAAATGCCACTGGCAGTTTTATATTCCAGTATCTAGCAGCTATAAGTGCCTGAAGGGATTCGGGTCCTTTGGTTACTACAGTCCTTCTGCTATCCAAAATCCCAGTATATTTTATGAATTTTGCAGGCAGCTGTGTTGCTATAGCTGGCATGTGGGCCAGAGCAAATGAACCAGTTAATTTTAGTATCCATTTCTTATCCAGCCTGCATAGAATTGGAAAAAAAGCAGTGAAACCAGTGTGAGCTACTCAGGTAACCCGCATTGGGTTTACTGCTAGGGTCTAGGATCCTACCTAGGATCTCCTTAGGGACTGTCTCCTTTGAACGTATGAGACATGCCACTGTGGCAGCCTAGTTTAGAAATTGTGGAGTAAAGAAGTTGCTTTATTTGACTGGTTTTATAGCTGTTGTTCTAAGGAACCATCCCTACACATTCTCTGCCTGCACAGTTCCTTGCTCTCCTTGGCCATGGGGTGGATTGGAAATGGGATTTGCTTCAGTGTGAGCAGAGTATCTTGCTGTTCTCTGTTTGCCTTATTTCAGACCAAGGTTGGTGGGACAAGCCACACGGGAGGCAGTTTTGAAGAAGTTCTCAGCTCTACAGCCCATGCTAGTGCTCAGAGCTCCCTGGCTGGCACCCGACTCCCTGAAAGCGAAGAAGAGCTTCAGTGCTAAACAGAAGGCCCTCCTGAGCCCCACATGCCTCTCTTCAGAGACTTGCCCAGACAGTGATTTTCAGCTCTCCCTCACCACACAACTTGTGCAAGGTTTTGTCAGCTTTGGAAAATTGCCATCCTGGCCTTGTGTTGGAGAATTTCCTCCCCTTGTGTTGGAGGTATTTCCTCCCCCTATTTCTATTTTAGATGGGCCATTTTATCACCAGGTACTTTGTGCATCAAAACCACACACAAGACATTGGCTATAATGCACTAAATTCTGTGTTAAGTGACTAAATAGTTTTCAGTTACATGTAACTTCCCTCTAACAATCTCCCAGTCTCTGTTTCTTATTTATTTTGGTTTACTTTTTTCTATCTGTTGGTTTCTGGCTTCCCTCTCAGTGCCACATCAGACAGATGGACCTAGAGCTGTGCAAAGCATTCAGCTGCCAGCAGTAGCCCATACACCAGCTGTCTACCATCCATACCAGGTGCCCTTTGCTCAGGAGTGTCTGTATATCATCTATTTCCTAACAGAATTAAAATCACTTACTGTCACAAAAAGCTGTTTCTCCTTCAGTGGTACAGTCTGGCATTGCCCTACACCTGTTAGGCAGCAGAGTTAAGGAGGGCAGGAAGAGAAACCTGGTTATTCACAGAGAAACAGCTTCTCACAGCTGCCGATTTCAGATCGTCATTTTGGCTGGAAAGGTTTCAGTTTCAAAATGTGCCCCATTGCTTGCTCTCTTCAGTTTCCTAAGACTTGGCAGTGAACTTAATTAGAAAATCAAGTGGAGTGGAGGGAACCTCTAATATTTTTGCCTCTGTATCTCCCCGTCAAAACCAAGGGAAAATATATTTATGAGCCTCTGTCAAGATACAGCCTTAAGTGAAAGAATACAAACCCAACATTTGGCTTCAGACGTGCCATAGGTTAGAGAGCCCATGCCTTCAGAGCTGCTAGCGTAGATCCTGTCACCTGACAATCCACAGGATGAGTAAGAACTTCACTTTTGGTGTCAAATTTTGCTGTGCTTCTCTCCAGGATGTTAATTCCACCAACCGCATTATCTCTGCTCAGTCACCAAGAGCCAGACATCTCTCAGCTTTGATTCAGCATGTTTTCTGAATTGCATTCTTTTAACATGTTTTCTAAGAAAAGAGCAGCACATTTGTGACACTATCTTGCTGTGTAGTGAGCACGTGTCTGTCCGCATGCTGCGTTGCTCAGCTCACCGCACACTGAGGTGGGCAGGACGTTATCAGTAAGCAGGATGGAAAAGAGCCTGGCTACTTTGAGAATGGATGTATTTTTGAGCATACGCCAAAGCTTCAAATCAGTGTTAGTGACTTTGACATTACAGACTGCTTAAAATTTTGTGAGAAAATGTGGCTTTAAGTGATTTTTGTTTTTTCTTGTGTGGCTTTTGTTAGTTTTTACAAAGTTGAAAGTCCTTTTGTAATGTTCTACTGGACATAAGCTAACTTTGGACGTTTATATCACATGCCTCTTTAGTGTGATTTTTAGCATGGAAACAAATCTAATTGTTTTTCTAGTATTCTTGTGACAATTTTCTAACTTATTTTATGTGTTTTTGTGCATAAATGTGAATTTATTTAAAATGGAAGATACTGACAATTTAGTTTGTGTAAATGAAGTTCTTGATATTCTTATTAAAAATAAATTTCTCTCTCTTTTACCCTTTGTGATGTTTTAATTCTGTTTACCAGTAGTACTAAGCAACCTAGTAGAAAGTCTCCCTGCCACTGACAAGGTAGCTGGAACTAGATGATCTTTAAGGTCCCTTCCAACTCAAAGCACTCTATGATTACTGTGCACGGTGTTCCACACTGTTCCCTCGGTCCCCTGCAGAATGGAGAAGCCTCCTGCTATGCTGCATGAATGGACTGTTCCTGCTTAGGGTAGTATTTGTGCTGGGTGTGTTTCTACCAAACATCTCTTCAAGGCCACTTTGCTGCTTTGTCAAGAATGTTGTCAATTCTACCCCTCCATGCATCTGTAGCTTTTACACTCCGCATTCAATGCAAACTAATGGACACTGTGATTTGTGTGCATCTAGGTGGAATAAAAAGGCTGACAAAAGCTTGGTGGGCCCCCTGCATCCCCCTGTGCAGTGTGGCAATCTGTTGCCAAGATCCACTAATCAGCTCAGCAAAGTGCAACCTGTTGTTCCAGGGTTGCCACAGGGCCCGACTGCTGCCCCAGGGAGTTCCTGAGCAGAGCAGGCAGCTCGCATCTCCTCTGAACCAGACCAATACGCTCCGCAGATTCTGAGCACTGTGCCAAGCCATTGAGGCAAGAAGCTCCCAGCATCTCTGCACAGCACTCTGTGCTCTAGGAATGGCACCAGCCACAGAATACTTGTGAGCTTCAGTCAGGCCTCTGAGGTTTGTGTAAAGAAAGCATTTCCTGAGTCACGGTGCCTGAAAATGTGTGTTCAGATACACTAGCAACCTTTAAAGGATATGACAATTGAATTTAGTTTTATGCTGTGTCATTTAACATGGAAGACAGAGAACTCAAAGTCTCTACCATGCAATTTTTACAGGTGCAAATTTTGCTTATTTGGTAATCATGGCATTGCCCTCATCTCCAGCTGCATGCAATTCAGCAGTTGGGTGTGCAGACACTTGCCTCATCATGGCATTTACCACCTCTACAGCTTTACTTCACAATCATTCTGTACCTCTACATTAGTGTGCACTTCTGCCAAAAACTCATTTACGGCAGAACTCATTTACGTACCAACGTGCCACAGCCTGGAGAAGGGAGCAAGCTCTACATGGATGTACAGGCTTCTGCATTAGATTGCACAAATTCCAAAGGTCCCTCCCAACCTCAGGTATTCTGTGATTATTCATTACCTGTGAAGGAATCTGTAAAAACTGCCAGTCTTGGGTGATGGGGAGCGAGGAATATAGACCTTATGGAAATACTGGCACCATTCCCTGATACAATATATGAACAGGGGAAAAGTTGTATGAAACAAAGAAGATACTCAGAAAATACAATTAATGAGATTATCAGTTTTATGCACCAGCACTTAAGGCTTATGCACTCCAATGAAATCTCATCTCTAAGCTCAGCAAATAGCTTCTACAGATGCTCATTGGTCTCATTTCTGTATAGCACTGAGTGGATATTAACCCACTTTGAAGGTACTTAAATCCATACGTATCTAGAAATTCACAGAACAAGACCACCTGCCCCACACAGTGCATTACATGAACAGATTAGATTGCAACCAACTAATTTTTAAATGTACATGGACTTCCCCAGTGGAGAATCTATTTGTAACTGAGACTGCATTAATCAGAGGCTGATTAAAAAGAAGGAAAACCCCGAATATACTAATTCTTTGTTCCCTGACACATCCTCTGATGTGGGAGGCAACTACATTACCTGCTCCCCTCTAAGTGGTCCTGGGATTTTCAGCAGTGAATGCACAGGAAAAAAAAAATCTGCTAGCAGAATTAGTGATGTTAGAGGAGAAAAAATAATGACCAGAATATAAACCAAAGTATTTATTATGGTTACAGCATTTAAGAACACCTCAGGAATGTGGATGAGATGTGGCAGCTATTCTTTTCTTCCTTTCTGTGTTAATCAGAGATACAAGCTGGAGTATTTCTGGGTGAACAAACTTCCCTGCAAAACAAAAGAAAAGGAAGGTTAATGAAAAATGCTCTCATTTTGCCACGTGTGAAAGGCTGGAATTGAAATGATGGCAGAGATGTCACTTTAGGCTCAGAATAAATGTCAAATTATTCCTTTAAGAAAGTTAATGCTCCCAGTTCAATCCAGCTATGGAGTAAGTGTAGCTACACCCCTTCTTCACAAAAAGGCTTGTATTTTGTGCTTTGTTAAGACATTTAAGAGCTGAGAAAGGGATGCACCCTGACCAAGATAATCTGATGCCATGTATCATGCTACAGGAAACCCGTGCAGTTAACAGGTGCACTCAGGGTATACGCTGTAGGCTCTACTCAGACATCAGCTCAATTTAAGTTGCTGGATTCTGGTAGGTAGCAAAGATGTCAGTTAGAAAATAAAGCATTATCATCTTCATTCACATTGTCCTTTCTTTTCCTTTGCTAATCAAAGTCTTACAGTGAGATTATTATTTCCCTGGGGAATCACCAAAGTCAGGGACTCTGCTGGGTGACTGCTGGTCCTCTCATCCCTATAGTTAGTCTATCCCTATTTTTTTTCCCAGGACAGGATGAGTTAGTTACAGTTCTCCTCTGGTGTTAACTACCTTGCCAAAATGATAAAGATTATTTTTTTTACCTATCTCTGCTTTAAACTATCAGTGGATAGAATAAAAAGTAACACAGCTGCAATCATTTCACTGAGGTGGTTCTCACAGGAACCTTGGGTTGGTCACTCAGCTCACTTGGAGATAACAAATCCTACTTCACTGGTTCCTGAAGCACTGACAGAGTACAAACAAGCTGCTGTCAGAGCATGGGTGAACACTGAAGAGTCCTTTTTGAAGACTCTGATGTTTCAGGTTGATCCTTACACACATACAAGTGTAATGAAAGCCAAGCCTCTCTCTAAGGTGAAAAGTGATGTAAAAGGAATCTGACATAAATTAAATTCAGGTTGAATACCTACAGATAAATGTCAGGTATGTTCACAATGCATCAAGTTTCCCCAGAAATATTAGGGGACTTGAACAATGAGTAAAATAACTAGTTCTCACTTGTTCTGAATGTCTGTCAGGGAAAAAAAAAAAAAGGAATTTATATATTTGATTTATGAAAGAGGAAAAAAAAAGCCCAAATGTCATACCAGCAGTTGAATCAAAAAAATCCTGCAGTCTGCCAGGTGTCTTTTCCAACTCTTCATACTCAAATGCTTGCAGTATCATCTCACACTGATCCAACTGCTTTACAAACTTGGCCTCTGCAGTAGACTGGTTTTCATATTCCTGAAAAGATTTGCAGTTTTAAGAAAATAATTCTGTTACTCTGAAACAGAACATTAAAATCTCTTTATATATCTAGAATTTTCTTCATTAGTACAAGCCACTCCAGAAATATTCAGCACAAATACATGTTTCACCTTGATTTTACAAACACACAGTGGTGAGCAGAACACTTAAAATATGTGCCAATTTTATATTAAATGCAATGGGATGTAAAATACAGCCTTTTGCATAATCTAACTCTAAATATACCAATTCTTTTGGCTGAATCAGGGATGATATGGAGGCAACTCCGCATGACACACAAGTTAAACAATAGGTTTGATTTAACTGTATTTTATGTAGAAAGATAATTTCAGGCCTGGTTAAGGCTATTAATTACCACAGTGTGTGCCTATGCACTGTCATCACCTATTTTTAAGACCTATTTTGCACTTTTCTCACCACTTACTGTTTCTATATGGAGTTGTTCTTTATATTTCTCTTGTCATTCCTGCCTAATCTTTTTGCTCTAATCTGTCTGAGCTGCTTATGTCCTTATGTCTCTCCTAGGAGATAGGGAGTGGTTAAGGGGTTTCCTCCCCTTCAGAATTTAAGTCCTTTAATCTCTCTGCTATCTTTTTCCTCTCTACAGTCATCATCAGTATATATTTATGTGTGATTCACATTTCTACTCATCTTGAACAATTTTGCTGTCGTTTGCTTCCAGTGATGGCTGCAGACAGGTCTGGCATTGCATTTTCCCTTTTCCAAATCTACTGCATTGTGTGAAATGTCTCATGAGCAGGTCTTCCTGACTCTCCTGACTTCCAAAACCAACCCCACAGAAAGGGGTTTTCTTCTGTGCAGGTTACCTTTACCTTGATACCACTAGCATGTCTAACCCTATTCATCATCCCCACCACCATTAATCACACCAAAGTACACACTGGGACCACCTAAGCTCCCAAATCCACAGAACCTGTGCATCATAGCACTTCCACAGAGAAGAGCACCGTGAGTGCAGGAAGAGGTCTGCTACTCACCACAAAACCTGGCATTCCTTTCTGCATCTGAAGACAACAACTGTGGTGGGAGTGTCATTCACAGTGGAAAGACCCTGGCTTTGTAATTCCAGCACATTGATGCTCAGGTAAGTGTGACAGTCTATTGCATACTATTAGGAAGCTGTTCTTAGGCTTATTACTTTACCTTTGAAGTGAGAAATCCTGATTTCAATAGCCATGATTACTGTTCTATTTAGATTTCAATGGTACTTATGAATTTTCAGTCACATCTTCATCATTATTTTAATAATAAATTTCATTTCAGTGTTTTTATCTTGTTTTTCTCTTTTCAATCTGAGCTTTGTCTCATTTTTAAATTGCTTAAATACTTATTTTCTTAAATCTATTTATTTGTACTCTATTTTTTAATAATCTATTTTTTAATACTCTATCTTTTAATAATCTCTTTTGCGGGGGCAGGGGTCCTTCAAAGACAACAAACTCCTGGCAGCATTACAAAGGAGAAGAAAAGAAAAGAAGCAGTAGGGCTGTTCACCTGTAGAAGTTGGTCTCACCTCCAACAATTAGGTGGGAGTATCAATCTGTTGCCAACCTCTGTGCTATAGACCCGATGTTATTCACACCTCAGCTCACACTGCCCTCAAGAAACATGAGCTATTACATGTGCAACTGTGCACAGTGCTGAAACAAACACTTACTGTTTCCTCCCCACAGGTGGTTAAGACTCTGAAATAACAGTGTACTTTGGAAAAACACTAACTGTACTTTGGAAAAACACTCCAACACCACAGGCCATCTTTTAAAAATCATTCCTGTGCTTTTGCACTTGAGAATTAAAAAGCAGGACAGAGCTGAAACATGCTGACTCATTTACTTTACTGTTTTTTCAAACATGTTTGGGATTAATTATAAAGTGAAAATATATCTGAGGCCTCTTTCTGCTGCCTCTCCCCTACACAACACTCGCCAAGTACCCACCAACACCTTCCAAAGCAGCAGTTCTTGTAAGGATGAAAAGCGAAGAGAGACAGAGACAAGGGCAGGGCAAAGAAGGAAGGGCTGGCTAAAAGTGTTGAGAAATCTTGTACTGCTCAGCACCATTCAGCTCTGGTCCATGACCACCTTCATGCACAAAAAAAATATCATAGGGAAATGTTTCTGGCTAGCTGAGAGCAGAGCAGCACACCAAGTTATCAGAGGCTTCTTATTTTCTCTTTTTTTTTCTCTTCTTAAGGAGTAACTAGCTGTTCCACTTAAAACAAGGGACTACATGTGAATAGTAGATTATTAGGATACCCTCTCTGCCAGGTGGGTTGCACACATGCCAATGAGTTGCAGACACAATGCAAATAAATAATCCTGAAGGTAGAAACAAAGACCAAATTATCAAAGACGTGCGTGTATTAAATTATGGTTAATGAGAATGATGAAAAACTAACATGCTAAAGAACTGACTCCATACTGAACCAGCTCCTACAATGTCACCGGAGAAGACTGAGACCAGCAAAGAAAAAACCCAATTATACAGAACTAACGTTATCTGTCAAAACCTCATTTTCCTCAATTATAACAGTTTCTCAAGGGAGAAAGAACCAATGCTCCCTAAAAAAATACGCACATATTATTTCCTATATCTGATGATGTTGGTTTACCCCCTTTACTTTAAAATACAGCTCTGAGTGCCCATCTCACTGCCTGTTCAACCACACAACTACACAACTACAACAGGGGAAAAAACCCCAAAAGCAACCCTAAACCTAAAACAAAACCATAAACAGGGTGTTGTAGCAAAATGCAAAAACCGGATGCAAATATTTGGAATTAAATACACTCTAAGTAGAAAAGAATATGAATGTAAGATACACATTCAGGTCATATAGTCCAAGAAACACAGTATGCTTGCACAAGAGGTTGTGGATTGAATTTCCCCCATATGTCAGGAGGAGATAAAGCACAGTAATTGTAAACTTGAATTGTTTGGAAATAACCTAATCATCCCTCATTTGCAAGTATAAAAGATATTATCAATTAACAGCATGGGTTCGCATAAAAATGGTTAAATCACCTTCAAACACGAAAGATACTTTCTAATACAAACTTTTAAATAACCCAAGACCAGAAATCTCTAGTGTTTGTAGAAAAGTGCTTTTTTTGCCACATTTAAGTTTAAACATTAGTTTACTTAATCATTTTAAGTTACTACTAAATATCTTGCTAAAGTCTAATGGACTTTATTAGAAAGAAATTAAAGCCACAGAAATTACTTCCATAAAAAGCAGAAGACAAACCACAGCACCATCACCTACTATTTTTTTTCCTGTGTTAAAAGCTGCATATGGCCAGATATGAATGAAAGTGATAATGTAATAAAAAATCAGATTTATATCCAGAGGGATATATGTAGAGGACAAACCCTTCCTTTAGCCGTACAAACCAAGCCCTAGACAGGCTGATCAGGAACTCTGAGAGGCATGGGGCAAAAGACGGTTAGTTTATCAAAGTCCAGGCTTTCTGTTTGAAAAGGATCCAAAAGTGACCATTACTCATACTGTTAGGCTTTATCTTCCAAGCAAATAAATCTCACTTTCTTGAGGTCAAAACAAGAGCTGGCACAATTTCACAGGTATATGGGAAGAAGGGAATGGGTCACCCTGAATTTTAACACAGGATTAAAAGAATGCAAACTTACTTCCCAGAGTTCAAAGATTTCTTTTCTGAGGTCCTCTGATAGAAGGTGGGTCAGCTGTTGCATAGCTCTCTGAAAAAAAGAAGCCATTTTCTGAGCAACACTTTTATCATTATATTTTCTGAATAGTTATCTAGTTGTTACCAAGCTAGCAGAAACATCCACTACACAGCAAATTACTGTATTGTTTTGGCATAGCAATGTTTGGCTACAGCTCTGGCCAAGGTGGTAGCACCTCTGGGATAACATATTGAAGGGCAGGCGAAAGCCCAGTGCAACTTCACCCAGGGGAGGAGTGAAAAGTGAGAGGAAGAACTCTGCAGATACCAGGGTTAGAGAAGGAGAGGGAAGAGGTGCTTTAGATGCCAGAGCAGATTCCCCTGCAGCCCGTGAGGAAGATCCTGGTGAGGCAGCTGTGCCCCTGTAGCCCTACAGAGCAGCAGAGATCCACCTGCAGCCCCTGGAGGTCCGTGGTGGAGCAGATATATACTGGGGCCCATGGAGGATTCGAAGCAGGGGGATACCCAAAGGAGGTTGTGACACTGTAGGAAGCCTGCACTGGAGCAGGCTCTCAGCAGAACTTGTGATTCCAGAAACTGTTCTGCACGCTCTTTGTGCTCTCCCAGCTGATCAGTCTCATTTCTGTGTTGTCTCTACTGTTTGGCCAGTGACACGAAGGACTGCTTCTAAAACAACCAACATCACAGGCAAGACAAAGGTTTCATGCCATGATTGTTTCTCCACTTCAGAATACAGTGTCACAGTATGGCTCCAAATTGCTTGGCCCCACTGAAGCATCAAGATCTCATTCCTTCTCACATCTTTCCAGCTCTGGAACTCATCAGATTTCAAAGTTAGGTGGCTAAAATGACTTACCTGTCAAAAACCCCTACTCCAAAAAACATTTTCCCTCATCCAAAAAAAACCCCAAAACTTCTTTTATTAATCAGGTTCATTTTCCACTGCCTTAGCGTTGATGAGACTCACTGGTTAAAGTTACTGCACAAGCAGCAAACTTTGGAGCCAGCTCAATGTTGGCTGTAGAGCAAACAGAAGAAAGGAGAACTCTGCAGTGCAGAGTATTGATAACTCACCTCAAGCCACCTCCTGAAGCGGCTACCCGTGGTCTATTTTTACAACAAAGTATTTCAGAGTCATCCCAAATATTTAATGCTTTATTCTCCTTCTCACAAAGTGAAGAGAAAGTCCTCACTGACTGAAACGGGAGCAGAAGGAGCTGCAAATACTTAAGAAAACTTCTTAAACATACCTAGGCATCGAAATCTCTTTTTCCTTGCCTAAATTCAAATGAGACCAAAGCTGAAGGCTGATCCTCAGTGACACAACAACCTTTACAGGCTTCCAGTAAAGAGGTTCTTCTGTTCAGTGTTTTGAAGCTCTTTGAAGAGTGTAACAACCACTCCAGTGATTATTCATCACCCATAAAAGGGAGCCCCTTTTATGCTTATCTGGTTAAAACTAGGGGCTGGGGGGCCATGACTAACTCTAGGAGTAAGCTCTTTGCTAAGGAAGTGGAAATTAAAGATCTAAGGTGCATTTGGCATTCTTGAAGTACAATCTTTACTGACTGTAATTTTGGTGGTTTTGTTTTTTTTTTAAACATACTTCCTAGTGTGTTCTTACACTGAATGAATAAAGCCTCTGAAGAGTTTCTAAGGCATGACATTGCCCTCTAGCTGTGGCTACAGAAATGGTTTACATTTTCTTCAAATAACGCCACAAACCAGAAACCGCAAACCAGCAGTTTGGATAAGTGCAAGGCCAAAAATAAAGTGACTCTAGACATGCTGCACTCAAAGAATCACAGCAACAACAAACAAGACACCTGCACCTGAGGTTCTGTGCAGAAGGCTTAAATGAAGTCTCTGTCAACCTCATGATCTGGCACCACACACACGATCTGACATGAACTGTCATCCATCCTACTCAGTGCACCTACTCCCTGCTCCTCACCTCTTGGTAAGGCTGCTGAACATGACTAATTCAGGCTTACCAAAACTGCAGCTAGCTCAGGAATAAATGTCCAAGGTGAAGATTACTTCAAAGATCCTTCCATAACTTTGTACTTGATGATGTTACAGGTCCAAAAATCTCAATAAGCTGAAAACTCTACTTAGTTGTGGCAGGTTTGTCCAATGCCAGTGATTGTATTATATTGCTTATTATATTCCTTCACCACCAGCAGAACATTAAAACACACAGAATGCTCTGCAGCTGTGGCTTCACACCTTATGTTCATACCTCTTCTCTCCTGTGTTTCTCCTCTTTTGGGATATTATCTGCAGGAGCAATATCTCCAACAATGCATTCAGCCATATCATGAACCAAAGCTAATCGTATGCATCTGACAAGAAGGAGGGACAGAATAATTAGTTTTTCAGCATTTTAAGTTGAAAACTTATCCAAAAGGCTAAGAGACTGCAGAATTTACCCCCCTTCATGTACTCTAAAGGTTGGTTGGAGCCTTGCTTAAACTTTATACAACATTTTTCACTTTTTTGTTAAAGGAAGTATTTTCCACCTAGATATGATTTTGATTTTTGATTTCTAGTCCTTATTACTTGTAAATGTAGATTTAAGTATAAATACACTGTGTACCAGAGCATAATATTCAAAAGTAATGTACTTAGCTTTTGTATACTTGACTTTTGGAAATGTTGTGGTAATTAACTACACATTATTCCCGCAGCAGGTAGAAGGTAATCATATTGGAGCAATCCCAAATTCAGTACATACTCTGTCACTCACAGCTCTGCCAGTCTGCAGCAGAATAGTCAAAAAAGCCTTCATATCAGCTCCTAGAGCTTTCTCTGCTATCCTAGAGGATTTCTGTGGCTCCTTACTGCTGCTGAGTGCTCCTTCAGTCTCTCAAAATCGACATGGTCTATGGCTCTGACACATCTGTTGCCTGACATTGTTTTTTAACAAGGGTTTTCAGCCTGCTGCTTGAAAGACCAGCTTAGAGCCTCTGCACTAAGGACTTGCCTCAACACTCCTAGTTAAGCAATAAAGTTTTTAGCTCCTTTCCAATGCCCAGATAAACTGGACCCTGTCCAAACAACACAGGGAAAAGAAGAGGGGAAAGGCGTGATTTAAGAACTCTTACTGGGGATTAACAACGTTAATATATGGTTGTGATAAGCAGAGGCAGTCTCACCTGTCCTTGTTAAGGCTCTTGTCTTCAGTCACCAAAGCCATCATGGCCATCCTGTACATATGGTCGGAGACGCTCTCTGGCTTTGCCACGTTCCTGTACACCCATCCCGTCCGCGGCACTCTCTGCGCCCGTGTCACAGAATCACACAATCAGTTAGGCTGCAAAAGGCCGCACACATCACCGAGTCCCACCTCTGGGCGGATACCACCGTATCCACCGGACCACGGCACTGTAAAGGTTAAACCCCTCGGTTTTGCAGGCCCTCGTTTCAGAGACACCGGCAGAAATCCCCCCCACCACGGCCTCCACGCTGCGGAGAGCTTTGATGCTCGCAGCGAACACCGGCCCAAGGCCCAGCCCGGCCCCCCGGCGCTGTCCCCGGCCCAGCCGCAGCCCAAGGGCCGGGACACGGCGGCACCCACGAGTGCCGGCCGGGCCCGCTGCGCTGGCACCAGGCCCGGGGAGCCCCGGCTCACTCCGGCCTCCGCCCCCCGCCAGCCCCGGCCCCGCCGCCAGCCCGGGCGCTGCCGAGGGAACCCGGCCCCAGCCCCCATGCCTGGCCCTTGCCCCGCGCCCACCTTGAGCTGCCCCAGCAGCCGCAGGAAGGGCAGCAGCCCGACCCCGCCGCCCGCCGCCATCGGGCCCCGGCAGCACGGCCCGGACCGCGGCTCCTCCTCCTGCTGCTGCCAGGACGCGCCCGCAGCGGGGCCCGGGCGCAGGCGTGCGGGGAAAGTGTCGGTGGGGGAACCGCGTCCCCAAAGCTCTGGCGCCTCGGCGTTCATTCACCACAAAAAAAGAACGACGCGGGCTGCGACTGCAACGAGAAAAGAATAAAAGAAGCCGGGCTGCTCACGGGCATGGGCGCTGAGTGGGGAAGGGAAGGTGGCAGGCGTGTCCTCTCCTCTCTTCCGCTGCGGTCCAGCGGGGAGGAGGGACAGTCAGCCTCCAAGGTAGGAATAGCTCATAATTCTGTCAAACTGAGCGTCTCCGTGACCTTTACCATGAAAACAAACAAACAAACAAACAAAAACCCAGCGCAAACTCGTTTATTGTTTAGAGACGAATGGATAGTTATCAGGGTTGCTGATGGGTTTTAATTATTCTGTGGACTCCTGGCATCTTGCTACAAGCGCATCCGTCACTTCTATGAGTTGAATAAATAGCGCGGTGACTTACCTGACAATTTTTTGTGGATCTTCAAAATACATTGCATTTCTTTGCTACTTTTATCCTGCCAACTGAAGTAGCGGGTAATGGTTTCAATGTGGTGATGAAATAGTCTGTTTCAGGAAAGAAAATCTGCAGTTTTGCCAGCTATCAACAGATGGCAGAGTATTTTACTTTCGTTTCTGTAAATATTTAAACTCCTAAATTAATAATACAGCCCAGACAACACTTTAGTGACCATTTCAAGGCTGTTTTCCCACAATAAAAAACAACAAGGACCAGGAAAGTCATCACCTTTACACCTGTGTACACAATCATAGATGCCTTGGGTGTGGCAGTACAGCTTTCCTGGTTGAAGTGAATCACATATCTGTGGCAGATTTGTCTTGACAGCTCTTGAAACCATCCATAATAAGAATTTCATACTTGATCCAAGCTGTCTGCCTTCCTTGTTTCATAATGGATCTCCTTTAGAATGAACACTTGAGCAATAATCATGAGGCTGGATTCACAGGCACTGGCCTCAGCGTAATTTTTGTAATATTTGTCCATTTTGTAGCGTTTATATGTATATAATTCCTCTGCATGCATTTTGTGTGCTGTTTTTGCATATTGCTTATTGACACTGGTGTTCTACCCAGTCATTCTTCAACAGCACTTAGAGACATCATTTATGTGGCTTTCCAAGTACCTAATAAATGCATCATGTGTAGTGTTAAATGCATGGACTCTCTGTAGGCTGGAGGACCCCATCATAGTACAAATATTAGCTCTGTCAGGATTTTACTATTCAGTAAGTAGCCTGAAAACAGAAACAAATCAGCTCCATACTATTTTAAGCAGGTTTTTTATGTAATTCAGAAACTTCAGCAAGGATTAGCAGTCTCCCTACAGGATATTAAGGTAGTGCAAAGGCTTAAGTCTTAATCTTTCGTCAGTCTCAGCTGGCTTTCTTCTCCATCTTTTGCCAAAATAGATGGCAGTTTCAAAAAAGAAATCCCAAATAAGCTGGTTATCGCAGAGTAATTATGATTTATAAGCTGGAGATGGCGCTCTCTGCCCACAGATTTCTGCTTCCCGCATTTGCTGCTACTCAATGCTGGACTGAAGTTGTGCTTCCATTTCTTTAAGAAATAGCGCTGGAGGAGTTGCACACTTGGTGCAGTAATGTGAAAATCATCTCCCCAAACGCCAGGCTGGGAGGAGACCCGGTAATTACTCCTAAGGTGGATCATAATCAGTTTGTGGTTTATATAACGTAGCACCAATGATAACACGCCAGGTTTAGAAAACCCTTATATGTTCTGCCAGCATGGGCACAGTAAAAATTGTATTGGCAAAATATCTTCAGGAAAAGTAATTAATTGGTGAGATTCATTCATTATCATCTGGCAGGAAAAGAAAAAAAGAAAAGAAAATGTTGTGTAGTTCCGTGGACAGGACAAAATGGTTGGGTATCACAGAACCATCAAGAAGGAATAGCAGCCTTGATGCCCTTCCTAATAGAAACACAATTGATGAGCACCTGCCAGACACTATAAATGGTCATTTCACTTCTCCAGGCTATAATATCTTCCTTTGTCTGAGGCAATCTTGGCAAATAGATAGTTAGCTCTGCAAGAATTCAGTAAGGGTACAGAAGTGCAGACCTCTGGGGTGAGAGTACATGTGTACCATGTGGCTCCCTTGACTTTGCCATGCACCTCACAGTGCTGGAGTGTGTGTCCTTGTGCCCCACTCCCCTGTGTGGGCTGTCAACGCTGGTGAGAAGCATCTGAGAGATGCACCGTGCACTGATGTCTGTGCCAAGGGCTGGACATGTCCTGCTGAGACTTCACATAATCACAGAATGGTTTGGGTTGGAAAAGACCTTAAAGATCATCTAGTTCCAGCCCACTGCCATGAGTGGGAACTCCCTCCATTTTAGCAGCTTGCTCAAAGCCCCATCCAACCTGGCCAGGAACACTTTCAGGGATGGGACATCCCCAGCTTCTCTGGGCACCCTGTTCCAGTGTTTCACCACACTCACAGAAGAGCATTTCTTCCTAATATCTAATCTGAACTTAGCCTCTTTCAGTTTAAAGCTCTTCCATCTTGTCCCATCACTACCTGCCCTTGTAAAACATCCCTCTCCATATCAGAAGAGTAGTGCTTATGGTAGCATTCCAGTAGTCAGCAATAGCTGCCCAGAGTGCCCCTGTTCAGTGTAGCTAACCAGTGGCATCACTACCCAAAAGAAAAATGTTCTTGCTGCTGTTGCATTAACATCTTTGGCTTTCTGTGATGAACAAGAGATTTTCTATCAGATCCCTTAGGATTACCCTATCTAAGCCTTCAAAATGAAGAAAAAGTTGTTTTATCTTATATGTATAATGGATCTGCAGGGCCAAGAGTAGAACTTTAGACTAGCACATTTTGGGGAAAAAAAGTCAATTTAAGAGCAAATCAGTCTTACATGAGCAGAACATTTCTAATGTAAAAAGGCAGCTGAATTAGAGGATTAGGTCACACTGCCTGATTAACATCATTTGATCTTTTGCTATTGAAAAGCCACTGGTCTTCTCAGAGAAAGGAAGCATTCAAACTTTAAATGACACCACAAGCCTGGCTTAGAAAAAAACCTGCTAAACTGAAAACAACTTGCCTTGCTTCAGTAATTGTTGGTTTGTCTCTGCTGTGGGGGGATGCATCCAAATCAGGATTTAGAAATCTCTCACATTTTGCTATAACAAAGGAGGACTGGAAAACTGAATGAGGGCATCTTGGGCACTATGTGGGAGAGGCTCACAGCATGTGGATCTTGCCTCGCTTTGCCACATCATATTTATTTATTGTTTAAAGGTGGAAGACAGATACTCAAATATCTGTTTGATGTTCGTTTTCCTTATTACACTTTCCCTGTTGGTTTTGCCTTTAAATTTTGCTGGGGTAAGAGGTAAAAAAAAAAAAAAAAAAAAAAAGAAAAAAAAAAGCTCACCTTGGCCCCCAGAGCCCACTCAGAATCTGAGAGGTACCTGCTGATGACATTTGATAAGTGAGGGAGTTCTAGTTACAGTTTTTATTGTTTTTAAAACTGAATTTGTTTTAACTAAGGAACATGTTTAAACAAAGAAGCTTTCCTTAAAATTATACCTCTTTCTTCTGAGCCTCAAAGTAAAATTGTAACAGATCAGCCTTGGTCATCTGAAATTTTCTAAGGTACAGCAAGAATGAACCATTCTATGATATAACTAAGCCTTTTTCAACTGGAAACACCAAGAACAGAAATAAATCCCATGTAAAAAAAAATCCTCTGGCTACCTCTTATATCTTTTCTGTTGAAAATCTTATACTGTTTTCACTTAATTGTACTTAAATGAGTTTTGAAGGGATTTTAACAATCACCTGCCACTAAGTGCCACTGTAGTAAACAGCACTTAGTAAACAGCAAGCAGACAGAAATCAAAGAATTTATTTCCTCTAATAATCTGATGATCAGTTTGCTCAAAGGATTTTTCTGTGTTTTTTGTGAAGTACTAAGCACTATTCACAAGCAGTGTATTTTTATTATTTTTAAAAATGCTCATTTAATATTCATTATATTATTTTCCATCGTAGTGTTATTTCAGTTGCTAGAGATGGAGAAAAGAAGTACTTTAAGATACAGAAAAGCTGTGAATATTCTTGTTATTCCCCCAGTCATGTGTTGCACATTCATATAATGAGCACACAGATCCTGCTCAGACTCTTGCTTTTCAGCCATCTCCCAAATGTCAGCCAAGTCAGACCCTGCTTAGCTTCCAAAATCAGATGTGATCAGGCATGTAACAATGTAAAGAAAAATAAACCCTGAAAGGCACTCTGAATTATAATGTACATTTTTTTTCCCTGACAGGCAAGAAAGAACAAAATGGAAGTTTTATCACAACTCTGCTTCCTTTTGGGTGCCCCCACCCTCCCTTATTACTGTGAGTAACGTTTTCTCAAAATAAAGGCACACTGATTTGTTTGTTATTTTAGGCTCTGAGAAGCAGGTCAGGCTGGAACCCTGTCCAAATACATGCCTCTAGTCCCATGAAGGGCCTGTGAAGGTACTTATCTCCGTCCTTGCACACCAGTGCATTGCCTTCCATGAGAGCTCCTGACACTGCCCAGCTCTGTCCGTCCCTTATGGCTGTGCGTGCTTTTGCCGCCTGGCGCGGCCAGGAGCCGCTGCGCTCCTGTGGCTTCTCGCACAGGGAGAGATGCACGTAATTAGCTGCCTGAGCTTCCTGCCCCCCTCTCACGCTGCTCGGCTATTATTTTGACGGCTGGTGACAGGGCTCTGGAGCCTCCCTTCCCCTCTGTCACCCTGCCTGGCAGCCGCAGCTGGGCGGCCTGATTTGTGCCCTGCCAGCCCCGGAGCGAGGGGGAGCAGGGGAGAACGCCCTGAGGCCCCGGCTCCGCCGCAGGGCTTCAAGGGGGCTTCTGAGGGCAGGGTCGCTGGCCACAGCTGGGGGTGGCACTCCCTCCTCTCTCGTGCGACCAATACAGCACCTACTCTAGTAAAAAACTCTGCTTTGCTATTTTGCGTCCAAGTATTTGAGCCCTTCAGACACCCCTGAACAAAACACACCAGCCATAGACATGCTCTTGCTGATCCAAGGGAACCTCTTGCATGGGCCTCTGCCTTCTAACCTGAGATTGACTTTAATTATCCATTATTTTGCCTTCCTCCCTGTGAGCCTCTTGCTGAATGCATTGTGCCACCCAGCATATTAGTCAATCATCGCAGCTTACGGAGCGCTATACTTCACATCTTGGCTTCGGTGTCATTCATGTGCACTGAGTGGAGACAGCAACCACTTTTAAGACGCTGGGTAGATTTAAGCATGCTAGGGCCTGTCTGTCCCTGTAGTAAATAGCTTTGCTGACATTTAAGCTGCACATGGCTTGATGTTAGGTCAAACAAAAATGTCACACTATAATCACTTTTTAAATAGCTGTTTCCGGCTCAGTTAGTACTGTATAGTTCCAGAAGAGAAAGCACTTACAAGCTGACAGGCAGAAAGGGGAACCGTCTGTATAGGATGTTTGCCTAATCCCATCCCTGCCCTTGCCTGTCAGGCTTGGAGCTTTGTTTGTTTAAAAAAAAAAAAAAAAAAAAAAAAGAATTAAAAGAATTGCGTATACAATTTAATGCCACTGTACTTTTCAGCTGGGCAGACTCTAAAGAAAACTCACAAATAAGTTCTGGGGAGAACTCTCAGCTTTGATGTAGCTGTGAGGGGGTTGGGTGGCCCAGGGGGCACCCAGCCCTCAGCAGTTTTGGGGCTGATACTGTGTATTGAGGCACTGTGCTGCTGAGATTCTGTTGCTGTGAGAAGGCATGTAGGTAAAATCCTAATGATCTTTGACAGCAGAAAATGTGAGGGTTTTCACATTCCCTGATACCACTCCTTAAATTTGTCTCTGCCTCTGAAGCAGCCTGTGAAAGACATGGACCATGGAGAAGCCATGCCAGACTTGCTTTTCATGCTTCTCATACGCCTCAGTTTGTGTGTTACGGTGTCCATATAGAATCACAGAGTCATTTAGATTGGAAAAGACCTTCATATGGTTTCACTGAGACTCTGGCATCCTGCCCTACCCTAAGGAGGAACTAGAGTCCCCATGGGGCTCAGCAATGGCTTGCTGGAGGGCACCGCAGTATTCCTCAGGTCCTGGTGCCCCGTTAACACAAACGGGCGCTGGGTCAGAGCACCCTGTGATGAGGCTGAAGTGTTTATGTCTTTACCTACCCTCCACCCCAAACATGGCTCAAGGGAATACTTGCATCCCACCACTCAGACCCACTGTCCCAAAATCATCTGTGTATTCAATGCTGCCCACGTGTAGTTTTGTCTTTGCCCCACAAACTCTCCTGGGCGTTATCATCAGTTTTTTTGTGGCAAAGCACAGCTGTAATCAGAAGGTGGATCAGTGGATCGAGAAGCACTTATAGAAGGCAACACAAACACGAGAGATCTACAAAGACAAATAAGAATGCATGATGTTTTGGGAAGAACAGAACCCATGAGGGAATAAAGCAGTTTGTCATCAGCAGTTTATCAGGGAGGAGAAAGCCAGCCTTTCTTGGCTTCCACTTTTTCATCTAATTTGATCTCTGGCTCTATTATTTCTAACGAAGTGGCAGTCTGAGAAGGTGCTATAGATGTGACTAAATGTCACCATGAGACCTGAGCCCAAGCCTTGAACAGCCCTGGCTGTGGCTTCACAGAGGCTGCTGACCCCTGCTTGTAGGGCTGTTGTAAGTCATTTCCTTTCCTGATTAGGTCAGAACAGTGGCACCATCTGAGTGTGTCAACATGGGTATTTCCTGCTATGTTGATTTTCCTCTATCTGAAGCAAGCCGTATGCTATACTTTTTAATTGAAAAGCTAATTTATTCCTGTAGGACATATATTTCCTAGCTGCATTTAGACAGTGAGCATTAAATCTTAGCACATTCCTCATTTCGCATCATAGTTACAGCAGGTGGTTGCTACTGTCTGATTCCATAATAGATAGAAAATTATAGAAAAGCAAATCTCTTCCACATTCAGGCTGTGGAAGGTAAGCTTTTTCCAAATATAGTTGCAAACTGTGGGCCACTATGAAGGGCGTGTTGAGTAAAATACTACAGTCTCCAAGAGGTTGGACAAGTTAACCTTTTGTTTACAGCCATCCAACATTCCTTAACCCAAATGTGACTTTTGTCACACCTCAAATTTGTATCAGCAACCCTTTTTCTTATAAGCATAGTTTGCTGGGAATGACTGTGCCTTTGTTCAACCACCAGTGTGAGGATGACTGGTTTCCATTGCATGCAAGCTGTGGGGAGTCACTCTGGGCTTTTGGAGAGTTCCTTCTGTCCAGGAGGTGGGCAAGGAAGAAACAGAGAGATGGAATATATACAGTGCACAGTAAATTTAGTGAGAATGACCATGCATTCAAAGTCCAGCCACTTGTCCCTGTTTTACACTCTTTGCCAGTAAAAAGAATGAAATGGAACTAGAGGAGCCAGGAGTGAGTGAGTGTTCCTGAAAGCACAAAAAATGGCATGCACTGAAAAACAAATGCTGTGATTTGGGATCTTATACAGGCTCACTAGCCAGGGAATAGGAAAGGCCCCACTGATGATTGAGATAGAAACTTTCTAAATATGAGTTTACATCCTTGTGTTGTTGAGTTCTTCCTCGTAAAACACACAGAGCAGAGTATGGGTGGGCAATGGCAGTTTTATTACCAGTTAGATGTGAGATCATGTATGCCATGATGAACCATCAATTAAATGCAATGTTTAAAGATGTAAGCTATCACCTTTTGTTTTGTCTGCTCATCATCAAATAAAGACTTAGATAACTCAGGCAAGAGAATATTTTCTTCAGTCTTACAACATTTAAAATACATTCAGGCATTCAGCTGAAAGACATTTCCTAGGAAATCAAAATTTAATAAGTAAGTATTACTTAAACAGTCACAATTATCTCTTTGAGGGTCTCTTTTCCCTGTTAAAAATACTTAGCTTCCTTTTTAATTGTACATCACATTCACAGTATTCAGTGATTAGTAGCACATTCTTGCAACATCCCAAATCATTCTTTTTAGTGAAGATCACAGAATGACAGAATGGTTGAGGATGGAAGGGACCTCTGCAGATCATCTGGTCCAACCACACTGCCCAAGCTGGGTGAGGAAGGACAGGCGATCCAGGACCATGTCCATACAGCTTTCACTATCTCCAAGGATGAAGACTGCAACCTCTATTTGTCATCTTCAATGACAAAATACCATCCCTGTGTGCCAGCCTTAAAAGGAGAGGAACTTCCCATCAGCTGTTTAAGTGAAAAAAAAAAGGACACAATAACATGAGATCTAAAAAGATGTTAACATTTCCAGTTTTTACTTTGCTGACTCCACAATCTTTAGTTATATGTACAAATTTACGCAAGGATTTTATTAAGTGATTCTTTACACCCACAACTTTACTGTTTCTTTCTTATTTATGATCCACTTTTGAAAGTGGATCATAAATCCCCCAAAATTTTTAAAGCTAAATCTGCAGCCATATGCCATTGAAGTTCCCAGGGATTTTTCAGTATTACAAATTATCTTCTGAGGTACCACAGCTTTTCATATCTTCTATTTTTTATATGGGAAATCTATCAAGCATCAATATAAACCTGAATTTCTTCTGTGCAGAAAAACATTGATTTTAACTTACCTGCCTTTTAAACCATGTTTCTTTTGATGAGTTAAATATTTAGAGTGGTTTTTTTTGTTCTGTTTATGGTTTGGGTTTTGGTTTTTGGGTTGTTTTTGGAGAAAGACTTCATTTGGACACTTGATCTTGAATGTATTTTATATTTAAATGCAAATTTTTAATCAGTTTGTGAGTTGTGTGGATGTATCTAAACAGAAGACACACTTTTTTTATGAAGTGGGTATCTCAGTTTGGCTTTTTGGCCAAGTGCAATGACAGACATCATCCATACATGCCTTCCCAGGTGGAGTGGTGTATCTGCTCTGTGAGAATTATTTAGTTTTTAATTGTTTTCCTAAGAGTAAAATTACTGAATGTTTTCACAAGCAGAGGAGTGAGATCCCTACCAGAGAGCTCTCTTGAGTGTGAGAGTAGCACAGCATGCATATGAAGACTGAAGAAAGCATTTAAAGACTGGAAGTTGCAATACCCCTGTGCAAGGCACCCTGACAAACCGCTGTGCAAAAGTGTTCCAGTGCACTGACGGGTGGGTGCAGTGACATTAGGAGGATGACAGCAATGCTGGAATGATGATTCCATATGAAAAATACTCCCTGCTCTTTGACTGCTCAGTGGGTAGTTCAAATTAATGACTCAAAAGAACTGCATTATAAAATTGTTGGGGTGAAGTTCGTGATTGTCTTGGATAAGGTATCTGGCTGGCCTTTGTAAACTGGTAAACTT